AAATGTCTCATAAAACTACAGTTCCCAGAATTCTCTAGCATTGAACCAGAACAGTTAAAGTGGTCTCAAACTGGATTATTTCTACAGTGTGTTTTGGAACCATGTCTACGATCCACAAGGAAAAGAAGAAACAAGTCTTCCCATGCTTATTGCTTGTTATATTATATTATATTATTTAAAAAAAATTGATGATCATGATTTGTAAAAAGCCCAACGCATTTAGGTCATTATATTACTGAGTGGCCTTCTTAAGGGGCTACACTAGAAATAAACGTAAAGACCAATAATAAATTAGATTTCAAAATTTAGAAAGGACAACACATATTTCTACTTATATATATGAAAAATTCTAATGTTAACATAAATTCTATTTAATCGGATACACCAGGGGTAGGCAACCTAAGGCCCGGCCCCAGATTGGTCCTGCTGCCGCTGCCCACCTTGATGATATTGATTATTGTTGTTATTACTTGTTCTTGGGGTTTTCTTGGCAAAATCTCCACAGGGGTTTTGCCATGGCTTTTCTGGGGCTGAGAGAGTGTGTGCATGCATATTTTTAATTTTAAAAACCACCTCATTTATTTATTTATTTATTTATTTTTGGTGCTTCGGCTCCCCAATTGTCTGAGGGATAGCAACCTGGCCCCTGGCTCAAAAAGGTTGCCTACCCCTGGTATACACACACACAAACACCCCTATATATACATACATACTGTAATCATGTCCTGTTGAACACAGTGTGAGTAAACATGAATGTCTTTGTGATCTGCAGACATAAAAGAAATCAATTTAGATAAAAGCATCAGAAAGATCCCTTTCATCAATAACATCTGTTGGGCTAAACAGTTTGGTAAAATAAGTTTTGCTCTAGTCTTGTATATTCTTGTCTGCTATGAAGAGAAAGGCTGCTTTCTTTCTGAGAAGCAGATGGGGCAGGGAATGGAAAGTATATTCAGCTACTATGATTTTTCTGACATACATGTTCCCCCTGGGCCGGAGTGAAGATATACTCTTGATCTTCAAATATGTAAGGGAAAGTAAGATGCACGTGCATAGTGGTCACAGCAGGGGTGGGAAACTACAGGTCTGGGACTGAATCTGTCCCTATTGGCTTGCCCAGCTCACCATGACTTCTTCTCTGTGTTATCAGTATTTGGTGATTTTTCAGCTTTTGTACAGGATTTTCCCCATTCAGAAATGTGGAAATGCCTCTCCTAAAACTGACTTACAATAGGATTCTTGAGCTAAAAGATGCTGGTGCGTTTGGTCCTTCTCTTTGGCACAGTCTACCACTTGAATGCACCTCTCCCCTCCTCAAGAAAACTGCTGAAACTAAAACTGAATTTTTCCAACCTTGGATTAAACTACCGGTAGTATTGGACTGGGACTTTGGAGTTCCAGGTTCAAGCTGCCATTGAGCTTCATAGCTTTGGCAAATCACACTCTCTGGGCTTGATCTACAATACAAGGTATAAATGAAGGGGCAGTCCCATTATACTGCCCTAGGTTTGTTGGAGGAAAGAAGGAATATAAATATGACAAATAAATAAAATAATAAATGGAAGGCCAATGTGACATTCTGATCTTTCACAGGAGAAGCTAGATAAAATCATTTCTCTCTTGCTGTGTTTTGTGACCAAGGTAGAGGATAGACACAGGGCAGCAGGTGGTGTTTGGGAAATCATGAAATCACCTTTAATGAAATAAAAGCAATTAATGGATGGGACATGCAATCCATGCAGTCGACAGTACCAGTTCTCTACAGTGCAGCTGGAAGAAAGCCGGGCGGGAGAGGAGGCGTTTGGCTACATGGGAGAAAAGGGCTTCTCAGAATCCAAAGTGACAAATGATGGCCCCTGTGCTTTAATTGATGTGACACTGGTCTGACATCGCAACTTCGGGAGAAGGCAAGGGGGGGAGCAGAGAGGATGACTAATATTCATGTGTATATGTGTGTGTGTTTGCCTATTTGGGAGAGGACAAAATCCAATCAAATATAAGAAATAGGTCAGTAAGAAGGAGATAAAAGCAGTTTTAATTTCTGCAGCTCAGTCGATAAAACATCTCTCGTCCCCACCCATGAATTCTAACCGTCTGTTCTTCTGCTCACAAGTGAGACTCTTCATTTGTGAGGCTCCATAGCAACATTTGAGCAAAAACACTGGCCAGGTCCTATGGAAAAGGTTGAAAGAAAACAATCTAAATGAGATGTGGACTCCAAATGCTTGTGGGTTACTGTTAGCAGTGATGTAGTGGAGTCAAGACTCACAGAGGTGAAGCCACTAGACATTTTTATTGGTAGGGTTGATAATGTCGACAGCCCTGTCCCTCTCTGTCCCTCTGACTTTGGCTTGTATCCTCACAGTAGTTTGGAGGTGGGATGGCAGGATGGATGAACATTCTTAGAATCGATATATTTTCTTGTGAGCTATCCATATTGTAATGCACAGTATTTGAAGAATGCCTTGGTCTTGAATGTAAAATTAAGAGCCATTAGCTTTATAAAAGATAAGCTCCTGTTGGAGGTGGACATTGTTTGAACTGGTTTTTTGATATGGATCAGCAGCTACCTGCATTTCTGGAAACTCCTGGGGTTACGGGAACTTGGCTATGGAAATGCCATGATGAGCTCCTATACTTCAAAATTGACCACTACACCAATGATTGTTCAACTCTCAAAGAGGGGAAGTCCAATGGTTCCCCTGTGATCCAGCAATGACCTTTGCCATGAGGTGTGTACTAATCTGAGCATGGCTACTTTATAACTACAAGTCATTTAATGGCTTGTGAGGCTGAAGAGCTATAGCTTTCATTCACATTGCCATTGTATGGCATGTATACATGTTCCTTTTCCTCATGCTGCTACCTTAAGGATGGCTCCATTTTCTTTAGATAAAGGGAAAAGAAGACAGTACAGGCCAGTTGGTTCCAATTGGCAAATATTCCCCAAAAGAAATTTAAACAGAGACTGCTAGGCAACTTTCCGGGCAATCCTACATGTCTATTTAGAAATACGCACTATGCGGTTCGGTAGGACTTACTTCTATAAAAGTGTATATGGGATTACAGACCTCTTTATTTCTTCTTTTTTTAAAAGTATATCTGCATCTAGTCCTCATGGTTGTTGAGAAACCCCTTCTGTGTGTGAGCTG